CAAACAGACCAAGTTTTGACAGTTTGATAATGATAATAGTGAAAGTGGCAGAGCCAGATTTCCTAAGGCCTAATATCCACTTACGTAGAAATATGGATCTAAAAGTCATTCTATTGTAGAGTAAACATATTTTCCACTTCGCATTACTTCAACAAATGTCTTGATGTTCATTCCTTGCAAACACAGCTACATTTGAATACTGATCAATACTACAGATACGACACAGAACAGAGTTTAAAGTGTCGTACTGACAAAGCAAAAATACAAGAGGGACATTAACTTGAAAGGGGGCATAAATATTTCTTTTCTTTTATACTTCGTTAAACATACACAGCAAAAATCTTTCATAAAATATTTGGGCCTATATATAAGGCCGTGCCATAACTGCGGCTGCCCGGGTTGAAGCCCAGATCAAGTCATATAGGATTTGTGATGAACAAAGTGGCACTGGGACAGGTTTTCTCCAAGTACTTCGGTTTCCCCTACCAATTATCATTCCACCGACTAATCCAAACTCTTAATTTATCATTCGTGGACTGTACAGTAGGCCAGATAGTGGCCTACGTACCAAGTGGACTCAGTCTCACCGCACCACAAGAAACTAAAAAAAAACTAGGGCCTATATATTTCAATGAGTCGTATAGTCTATATCATGTGACCTTTGAATAACTGTTGTGTGTCATGTGATATATTTAGACTTGAGCCTAATCTGACCAAGAGGTGACGCTGTTCAGAGCAAGATAAAGGTCAGTAAAAAATCTCTACTCGACTTCGATACCAAATTTCATAGGAATCTGTTAACTGGTTTGGAAGCTGAAGCATAAACAGGTGGACACGAGTCGCCATTACGTAACCCGCATTTACTGTTCGCTCTTATTAATACCGGCTTAATTAGACAGTATTTTTTTTGCTAACAATTGACTGAATGTTGCTGACGTTAATAATGTTGAAATTGAAGTATATTAATTTCTACATACGCCTATTACTATGGCTAAACACTCGAAGGCACGAAATTTCTTCCCGTGCTCAAACACTGGGATCATATTTTTCGAACGTCGCTCTAGGCCTGGGTGTCTGTCCGCGTGTTTTACGTGTCTGTGTTTTCCTCTGTAGGCAAATGTCTTGCGACTGGCTGATCCCCCGTCCAAGGAGCCCTACCGGCTGTTTATAAGAGTCATAGTTGCAGATTAATTCTGAATTGGAATGGGTCACAGGGCTTAATCCATCAAGGGAGACGAACCATTTCTAAATACACGCCATTATATATCATACGTATTATAATCAGAACGTAGGAGGAAGAGTCAGTAAATAGGTCACAAATGGAGACAAAACAGCTGTAATGGATGCAGTAGGTTTTCTATATTTAGCACTAGGTAGCAGCACAGTCCAGCTTCATGACAGTCTAGGTAGCAGACGCGCATGCGCATGTTCAAAGGCTGGTTTCAGTAGTCTGAATGGTGACCGTGCTTGAGGAAGAGCAAAGTTCTGTTGTGCATATTCTGTGGGCAAAAGGACTCAACGTACAGGATATTCATAAAGAAATATTTCCTATGAGAAGTGCTTGCCGCGTAGAGAGATTCACAGCTGCGTCCAGAAATTCTCTGAAGTACGTTCGAAAGTAGCAGAGGTACAGAAGTGACTGAGACAACAGTCAAAATACTTCTACGCTGCGGGTTTCGACGCGCTGATAAAGCGATGGGATAAGTGTATCGATGTTTGTAGAGGACATGTGAATAAATAATTGTATTTCCCAGGTTCGAATGTAACATGTTTTGCCTTTTATATCCATTTGTGACCTATTTGCTGACTCTCCCTTTTAATTAGTCATGTGCTGTATCATTAATTCGTAGAATAGATTTATTTTTGGTGTTATGTCGTGAAGTCAGAGAAGAAGAAAAAGAAGAATTTGTTCATTACCGACACGGACACCGGCTCATTGTGAACTAGGCTTTCCACTTGTGCTACCCGCCTCCCCATTCGTGTTTACATCCATTTGACGGTCGTCGTGAATGAACTACACTCGAACACCAAGGGACCCGCGTGACACTGCCTTGCCTCGTGGTGTACGTGGGGAGAGTAATGATCGAGTGAGGAGATTAGTTAGACGCTGGGCTGGACCCGGCAACGTCATCCATCATGGGCGACACGCAGCCACCTGCAACCTCACACAGTCTCGGTATCTCTGACGTCACGAGGGCGTGCAATCGTTGAAGTAAAGAATCGGTACGCCTCTGTAGTAGTGGAAATGCCACCGAATTTCAGGCCAAGCGGAAATGCTGCAGACTTACAAACGTAACTACCGAAACCAGATCTCAAGTCCTCCAAGCCTCATAAATCAAATTTGGGAACATTAACTGACTCCAATTGCCACTTAAGCATCCTTAGAACGCAGTCTGTTGTGAGAGAGATGAGTAGAAATATACTGTCACGTGTAAGCGGCCTCCGTAGTCTAGAGGTAACGTTCCCACCTCATGACTCGTGGTACGCGGGTTCAAACCCGGCGAAGGTCGTGGAACTTTTAAGGGCGGAAAATTTCAGGGAACAAGTCCTCGGGGAGGGACTTTAATCCGTGGGTCCCGTGTCGTAGCTTTACGGCACGTAAAAGAACCTCATATCTTCAAAGGAGGTCACTGAGCTAAATTCAAGGACATTTCCCGCCTAACAGTAGTCTCTAACGCCTCTGATAGAAGGGGGAAGCGTTATAGATACCGCCAAGCCAGTAGAGACCGAACTCGCTGGCTCGGTCGGGACTGATGGTACGCACCAATATCGGTAGGGTATAGAGACTAGTAGAATATCATAGAGGGAAGCACAATGGACCAATACTGGTCTCGGTGCATGGGGAAACCCACCCTCTCCAACAACTAACTACTGTCACGTGTAAAAATGACTATAGACGAGGTTTGGATTGGTGAATGGATTTATTGACAACTAATACACACGACTCGGAACTAAAAGCAATTAGAGCGCCACCGCTAATATCCACAATTCACAAATCACCACAGCACCCGCTAAGCTTTCCACAGCCTGCTGTGTCTTTACCAGCTGTTCCCTCGCAACGGGTTCTAACAGTCACATTCTTCAGCTTCATGGACTCAAGACCTCTCTTCACAGATTCCCGCACAGAAGTGAACTTCAGCTGACAACTGACTAAGCTCTAATTTTGTCTTTTGCTTATAACATCTCGGCAAGGACCACATAGAAAACAGCTCTTCCATTGTTATGGGAACGTGTTTGCCGAGCCGTTGTCCAGGAACGGCCATAGTATATCTGTCCATCTCGTGGTCTTTGCATACCAACGGCTCTATACGCTACTAGACATTTTCATTCTCTTACATTTTCAGAGTTGTTGTTTTGTTCCTTGTAAACATACTCTGCGGGTACCCTGTGGCTAGTAATAATTAAACTCTTTACGTATGAATTTCTGAAAATGAGTAAATTTAGAAAAGAACATTGTTATTATCGCGCAGTCTTTGATGAATTTTGTGGTCAATAAAACAGAATTTCCCAGTCCGGATTATCGAAAATACTGTGAGTAACGTTTAAAAAGCTATCCCTGTAACAGGCCGTGAAGGCCCTAGGGTTGTGAGACGTCGAGGCTCGCACATTTTTTTAGACAACCGGCTCAGAGATTGCGGCAAGTTTGTCAATCTTACGCTCTGGTCGTCTTTTACCCCACCAGGAAAATTCCTGGTGCTCATTTCGTTGGATTTTTCAATTGACCTAATCCTTCCAGCCGCGCCATGGCCCTGAGGTCGACTCAGCCTCTAACAGAAATGAGTATCAGGAATCTTCCTGGGGATTAAGGGCTGCCGGGGCGTAAGGCTGACGACCTCACCGCCATCTCTGAGCAGACTATCTAGAAAACGTGGAAGTCTCGACGTCTCACAACCTTATGGGACTCAACGGTCTGTTAAAGGGATAGCTTTACAGTTACTCTTTTTTAAAAAGTAGTGATGTGTGGCCTTGATGTAGGTGAAGTAAGAATCAATAAGGTACAGCAACGGTGACAGCCAAGGCTTGGGGCTGACTAATGATGCAGCAGGACTGAAATGCGAGTGGTACAAGTGAGAAACGAAAGAAACCTGGAGAAAACGCTCTGCGTGACTTCGGTTCATCCATCAAGGGCTGCACCTGGAGCTCCGTTACATGGACAAATTAAATTAACTTACTTGAGATTCAGTAACGGAATTAATGAGAAGTGAACGTGTGTTGATGCGTCGTCATCAGAATGCAAGATATTGCAGCATGAAGATGGATAGTTGATTCAGTGGCAAAGTTCAAATATTGTGGCACGAGGATAGGGTAAGTTAAAGGTAAAGTTGTTCCTGTGCTTAACTAATTAAGCACTACGTCATGTAGACGTAAGGGGGAATGGACATATACAGACACGCTTTTTGACCTCAGCATTAATTGGTAATGAATGGTCAGCTCCACGCCACGTCCGTTTTACCACTGGGGAAAGAGTCACCTGTACCCATTCGATAGGAGGTTATGTGGGCCCCAGGGCTGGTGTGGAAGACATGGAGAAGAGAAAATTCTTACCCCCATCGGGACTCAAACCCGCACCGGCTGTGGGGTCCACCCAGCCTCCTATCCAATGGGTACCTGGGGCTCTTTGATCGGGGTAAAGCGGCCAGGGCGTGGAGCTGACCACTCACCTCCAGCTAGTACGGAAGTCAAGAAAATGTGGGACCTATACATCCACTCCTCCATACGTCTTCATGGCATAGTGCTTAATTAGTTAAGCACAGGGACAACTTTACCTTTTTACCTTTACTAATTGATTATCAGATTTATTGCTAGTTAATTACGTAAGGTAACTTCTGAAGATGTTATTCTACTCAGTGTTTAACTGAAACGAAATTCATCGTTTTCCTAATGCGCTTAAGTCTCTGAGTCTAAGTTTGTCGAGGCAGCAATTTCTGGAATGTTCACATCAAGCAGAATTTTTTGCTCGTCCTGCTGCTGGTGTAGTGTCGGCACAGTTTTGGTGAGCTAGTGGTGGTGATTATGTTTGCCTACAGTCTGCTCTGGTGCTCTATCACCGCGAGTATCCTCCTGGGTCGGCTAAGTTCACACACTAAGTACTCTTCATTCCAATAAAATTAATAGTTGCAGATTGTCGTGAACCAAAAGAAGGACTTCCATTGACAGCAACTTAGGAGTGACGAACACTGAATATTATTTGTGCCGCAGTAACGTAAACCACAGAATAATGATTGAACAATTCGTTTGGATTACATTCAGTCATTATTTGCGATTCTCGATAGAGAGAAAGAATCGATACAAATACGAGTGTAGGAAGGGTATAAACAATACTCTTAGTATGTTTTAAAAATTCCGTATTTGTTATTTCACAAAAAATCTGATATTTATTTATTACAGATATATGTTGTTGCAAAATTTAGGTGTATCATAAAACAAAAAGGTCACGAAAACAATGTTATATTTAATTAAATATTATATACATTAGTGCATGAATCCTCTAAATATGTTAATGAACAGTCGCGTTTCACAACAGGCGTAACATTCTGTGTCAAGAGAAGTGAATATCAGATTCAAAAACAAAAAGCATTTTATTAAATACACGCAAGAAGTTGTAAGATCTGAGGTTTTCACAGCGGCGACTATGAAGACTGCCATCTTCTGGGATGTGGCGCCGTGTAGATATTGTGTTAACCGACGTTTCGGAGGAACGTATCGGCTCCTCACTCGCGGATTTCTTATACCTTGAAGATGGAGGTTATAAGTTCCTCCGAAACGTCGGTTAACAAAATATCTACACGGAGCCACATCCAAGAAGACGGAAATATTCACATAAGGTATGTCATGTGATAATTTGTATTTTCCTAAAAGATATCTTCTAAAATAACTTAAACATATTTGTGTTCCATACTGTCGGTTATCAAGGCTCCGACACGAAATAACCCCCCCCCCCTTCTCTGTCGATTTTGAAATGTGTTGTCGAGTTTACTATGTAAATGCAGTGTTTCTCAACCACCTCTAATGAAAAAGGTGAAGTATCCCTGTAACAGGCCGTGACGGCCCACAGAGTTGTGAGACGTCGAGGCTCCCACATTTTCTCTAGACATTTGGCTCACAGATGGCAGTGAGGTTTTCAGTCTTACTCGCCGGTCTCCCTTTACCCCCCAGGAAGATTCCTGGTATTTATTTCTGTTAGAGGCTGAGTCGACCCCAAGGCCATAATGAGGCTGGAAGGTTTAGGTCAATTGGAAAATCCATTGACCTCATCCGGAATCGAACTGGCGACCTTCCGGCTTGTAGCATAGTGCCTCAACCAACTACGCTACCGCGTGCCCCTAACCACCTCTAATACCTAAAGGAAATACTAATTAATATTGATGCTGACTTAGAGGCGACAACAGAAGTTTGTTTCACTTTTCATTACTTTGTTGGAATAGTTCATAAAATGAGAGTAAATAATTTCAGATTTTTATTTTGTGTTCCCAGCAGCACGGTCACAGCGTAGAACAATAGCATTGTTAGTGCTCAGAATGTGAGATTTGAGGGTCTCAAAACAGTGTCTGTGGTGATTGCTATAATCTAGGATGTGACGCCGTGTAAACTTGTAGATGTTTCCTGACGTTTCGATGGAACTCGTTATTTCCATCCTCATGGTGGAAGAGACCGAAATGGAGGCAGGACGTTCCTCCGAAACGTTCATATAAATCAACCACACAGCAAAACACTACAGCTCAGGAAACAGCATTCAATATAAAATAATCAATTACAGGCTTTTTGGTCGTCTTATATGACATTCCAAAGCACACCTTAACTTTACAACTAAACTACAAACTAAAGCTTGATAATGCTTAATTACAGTTTTATATTTCAGACGATTTCTGTACGAAACAGATATGGAAATGCATATTCCATAAATTCCATTTTTAAATTTCTTAGTTTCACATTCTTTTTCCTTAGGTGGGCCCTTATTACAGGGGGCACGCGGTAATGTAGTTGGTTGGGGCACTATGCTACAAGCTGGAAGGTCGCGGGTTCGAGTGCCGAAGAGGTGGATTTTTTCAGTTGACCTAATCCTTCCAGCCACACTATGGCCCTGGGGTCGACTCAGCCTCTAACAGAAATGAGTACCAGGAATCTTCCTGAGGGGTAAAGGGAGCCCGGCGTGTAAGGCTGACAACCTTACCGCCATCTGTGAGCCGATTGTCTAGATAATGTGGGACCCTCAACGCCTTCACGGCCTGCTACAGGGATAGCTTTACCTTTCTTTGCCACTATTACAAAGTCGGGGTTATGTTAAATCAGTACGAACCAAACCCAAAGCTATCCGAAAGCTCTTGTTGTTAGATTTCAAATATAGAATCCAATTCAACAAGGGAATATGATCTAAAAGTTTTACAATGATATATTGATACAGTTACTGTGGTTCTCGTTATTATTAATTGTCCTGTTTTTATTTAAAACACACAGCGTTTCGGAGACAGGATTCTGTCTTCGTCATCAAGTGGAATCTACTCAGCTGGGCCCATTCGATACAGCCTGAAATGGAGGTAAATGCTCCTCCGAAAGATTCATAAACACCTACCACAATGCAGGATGCCACATCCCAGAAGACAGCATTCTTCAACGAAGAAAATCAATTAGTGGCTTTTTGGTTATTTTGTGTGTTTTAAATAAAAGCAGGACAATGGATAATATCCAGAGACACAGTAATTGTACCAATAAGAGAATTAAAAGAAATAACATGCTATAGACAGGCGCAACATCCAAAATAAGCGTCCATTTTATGAAGTTAAAAAAAAAGATTAACTTCGAACTTGACCCAAACTCTGTAAAGCTATTTTGGTTTTATATGTTTAATATAAAAAGTAAAGTTGTCCCTGTGCTTAACTAATTAAGCACTACACCATGAAGGCGTATGGGGGGTGGATCTATTGATTCATATTTTCTTGCCCTCGGCAAGGTGAGTGGAGGTGAGTGTTCAGTTTCACGCGCCGGTCGCTTTACCCGCGTTGAAAGAGCCCCCGGTACACATTGGGCGGACCCCAAAGTCAGTCTGGACGACGTGGGTGAGAGATAATTTTTGACACTACCGGGACTAGAACTCCGACCTCTCGGTCGTCCAGCCCATAGCCAGTCGCTATACCGACTGTGCTATTATTCATATGTAAATCATAAAATTCTGAGTGCAAAGTATAATCATCAAGTACCAACATGTACTAGAAAAATGTCCAGCGTAACAAAATATTCCGCTCACACTTACGGATATACAGTTTACATGCAGTTTTCAAACAAAAGAATAAATGATGTAAAATAAATATACAAATATATGCAGGACATAATATTGACCCTTTCACTGCTATGAAGGGAATACCTCGTTCATGAAAATTTGGGATTCCCCCAGCAATGATTCTGGGTTACAACAGTCCGTTTGAAACCAACCGACGTTTCGGAGGAATATATGCCGTGTATCTTGAGGCAGCTTGCTACCTCTAACATGCTGGTTTCCTGCTTGGCATATTCTTTAACCCTGAAGGTGGAAGCGACAAATTCCTGTGAAACAGCAATTGATTTTCCAACAGACAACAGCAGTAATTATGGAGCTCTCCTTCTCCGACATAACACCGTGTATTCCATTGTAAATTAGTCGAGGTAAAGGAAGAATATGTCGCCTCTATTTTCAGGTTTAGACACGTGGCAGAGCGAGAAATCGGCATGAGAAGGGTAGCATGCAGTTCAAGGTACTTTCAAGTAGGCAACTATTTCATGCTGGTTTCTTGCTTCAATTATTATTCGATCCTGAAAATGGGAGCGAAATGTTCCTCTGAAACTACAGCTTATCTCCAACGGATTGCATGCCGTCATATTCCAGAAGACAGGGCGTTTCATCTCGGCATTCGGTAACTGGGTCCAGATTCAAGCCCGTTTACCTACTGGACGGATGTTTGAACGCCTTCTTCGGGTATACTGCCTGAACTTCCTAGTCGTGAGGGAGGGAGACAGGAAATGGCAGTGCATATAATATCTTTGATGTTACGTGTGATGTGACAGAACAAAGATGGCAGCACTGCAGAACTTTGGACATATAATGGGAAGGAATCTTGTCAAACTCGTTCTATTTCAGGAGACGAAACGCTGAAATTCAGACTGCGGCCGAAAGACAACTCGTACTTAGGATGTCCGATTGATGAGAGAGAGGATGTATCATTCCTGCTGTACACAAGGTAAATAAATACATAAATAAATAAATAAATAAATAAATATACTTTTTTACATATGCGGGGGGTCTCAAATTTTCGAGATCGAATCGAGATAAGAAAGTCTCGATTTCGATTTGAAAAAAAAAATAAATTCTCTTTCAGTTTCGTACTTCCAGAACTTTCGTACAGGCAGAGTTCTCATTGATTTGCTCAGTATGACGCAGACTACCCGATCTACATGAATTGCAAAGGTTGGCAACGTTACAACTAATCGACATGCAAACAAAATCTCTCTGCCTCTAGGGCTTTTTCTATTTCGGTGAATGGTGAAAAAGAACTTGGCCCTTGGGATGATTTTCTGTACGGTGTTTTATGAAGATTTTCATTGATGAAAAGCTGTGATATCAAAAGGGTAAGCGACAAAGTTTAGTGCATAGAGATAATGGCTAGGTAAAAATGTTAAAGCTATGCCTTTAACAGGTCGTAGATGCCCATTGGGTTGTGAGATGTCGAGGCTTCCATATATTCTAGACAATCGACCCACAGATGGCGGTGACGTCAGTCTTACGCACCAACCGCCCTTTACCCCCCAGGAATATTCCTGGTACTCATTTCTGTTAGAGGCTGAGTCGACCCCAGGGCCATAGTGCGGATGGAAGGATTAGTCAACTGAAAAATCCAGTAACCTCATCGGGAAACGAATCCGCGGGTTTCGGGCTTGTACCATAGTGCTTCAACTAGCTACGCTACCGCGTGACCCCAGAGAAAATGGCTACTCTTATAAACTGTGAAAAGAAAAGTAGCAGAGTACATTTTGTTTCCTCCTCAGTTCTGTAAGTTACCCCAGGTTCTCTTCACTAACAGAAGAATCTGTCTCGCTGAAGGCTAATATGAACAGACACAGTTTAAATTCTTCATGGGCGCTGACTCGCTGAAAAAACAAACTCCGTGGCCTGAAGTCCGCAAGCGAACTATACCGTTCGAGCGACCGCCGCTTGTCGACGAAGTTACCGCCTCTGTGGTCTAGTGGTCAGAGTTCCTGACTACAGTTCGAGAGGTCTCTGGTGCGATTCCCGGCGCTACCAGATTTTATGAGAAGTAGTGGGTCTGGAACGGGTTCCATTCAGCCTCGTGAGGATTATTGAAGACCTACTTCAAGGAAATAGCGGCTCCGGTCTAGAAAACCGAGATTAACCGCCGTGGGGGTCCGTTGCGCTGACCACGCGACACCCTCTATCCGCTGAAGTTCGCGCTAACTTCGCTGACAAGCGGCGGTCGCTCGGTCGGTATAGCTCGCTTGCGGAATGCAGGCCAGGGAGTTTGTTTATTTGTATGGGCGCTTACTACAGTGAGTTTATCAAGATGGCGACTATGAGGATGTGACCTGGGATAATCTGGTATATGTTTACCGACGTCTCGGAGGACCGTGCTGCATTGATCTTCAGAAACAAAGGTGAAATTTCGGCCCTGTAGGTGGAAGCAGTATGTTACTCCGAAATGCCGAAAAAGATCAGACTATACGGCGTTCCGTCCCAGAAGACTGCGATCATCATTCAATACTCTCTGTACAGTGTCTCATCACTGAATCGTATCCTGAGGCAAATGAATTCATGTCCACAATCTCACACCCTGAGGTCAATTTTAATATTATCATGTCATGTTTCCCTGACACAGCCAGACTTTTCTTCGCACGAGGCTTTCCAGGTAAATTGTGCTATACATTTCCGTCTTCTTCTGGGATCCACAACAACGAATCAGAATTTTGATTTGTTTCATTTTGGTCCGTCACATTAACAGTATTATAAAAAGATAAAACAGTCCCGTCCAGTGTGACTGGATCTTCATCAGTCACACTCGACGGGACTGTTTTATCTTTTTATAATCAGAATTTTATTAAGGAGGAAATTAAGGAGACTGAATTCGGTTAACGCTTGCTACCGTTAAGTCCAGAACCTTCTGTCTTCTCGTCTGCTGTCTAAAATCATAAAAATTAGAATATACAGAACTATAATTTAGTCTGTAATTTTGTGTGGCCGTGAAACTTGATCTCTGACATTAAGGGAGGATCACACACTGAGGGTGTTTGAGAACAGGGTGTTGAGGAGAATATTTGGACCGAAGAGAGATGAAGTGACAGGAGGTTGGAGAAAACTGCATAATGAGGAGCTTCATAACTTGTACTCTTCTCCAAGTATAATTAGAATGATCAAGTCAAGGAGGATGAGGTGGGCAGGGATGAGTTGGATAGGCAGTGTAGCATACATGGGGGCGAAGAGGAAAGCATAGAGAATTTTGGTGTGAGAACCGGTAGGAAAGAGGCCAATAAGTAGACCTAGACGTATGTGGGAGGATAATATTAGGATTTACCTTGAAAAAATAGGCTGGGGTGATAAGGACTGGATTGCTCTGGCTCAGGATAGGGACCAGTGGAGGGTTGTTATTAACACGGCAATGAATTTTCAGCTTCTATAAAATATTGGGATATTCTTGGGTAGTTACGGGACTGGCCGCTTTTCGAAAAAAGAGCTCTGTTCCATGGAGTTAGTTATGTCGTTAAAATCATCTGTACCTGAAATATATTCAAAATTACGGTAACGAAATACGACCAATGTCACCTTGCATTGCGAACTTCCGCCGGAAATGTTACAGAGATCGATGTTACAGCATTTAAACTCTAGCAAATAACACAGAGAACTGATTTATTTTGCAGGTTTAACCCCCTAATTTCACAGAAGCTGTACCTTGATGACGACTTGTCTCTAGAGGCCTCTCACATTAGTGGTACACACCCCACAGTGGTATATGTGCATGGATTCACGGAGAGAGGAGGCGGCCTCAGCGGATCCGTGATAAGGGATGGTGAGTTACGTAATATTGAGGCTTTCACGCCCTGCACGATGTGCCTCACTTATGCAGGACGTAAACAATGCCCTGTGGAAGATAGATGGGTTCGATATGATCATATACTATTAATACACCCATGTCCGGAAGGCCTTTCAAATGTGAAGGAGAACGCCCTTACCTCTTACCTTTGTGGCTTACTGGTAACATTTACCTAACATTTCTCCAAGAGACCTTACCCGAGCTGCTGGAAGTGGTGCCTTTGGAAGTCCGACGTGAAATGTGGTTCTAGCATGATGGCGCCCCGGCACACTGCACTAATGTTGTCGGTGAGTATTTGGATGAAACTTTGGACGTGGAGGCCCAGTAACCTGGCCCCGTACATGCAGAGCCTGATGTACGAGACACAACATGATCTTGTGACAAGAACTGCAGTAGCAGCTGGAACCATCCGGGAAATGCAGGGAATTTTACAGACAGTTCAGCATAACATGGTCAGGCGGTGCAGAATATGCAATGAAGTCGGCAACTTTTGTAATGTAAAACAACGATAACATCCCCTAAAACTTATGCATCCTCTGGGAAACTTTTGTGGTCCTTAGTGCCAAAAGGATGCGTTTCCAGTCATTGGTGTATTCCAAAAAAAAAAAATTATCAGATTGGACCCAGCTATCTGCCGCACAGCGTTGTAACATATTTATTTGCACTCCGTTAAGCTCCGAGTCAGGAGCTATTTGATGTTTCAGCAATATAGTGAAAGGTGCTGCGACCGCCATCTATTAACTGTTTACGCTAACTACAGCGCACCTCGATAATCCGAGCTAAAGCACTGTTTGAGTTCCACCTATCGCATCATTCTCATTACAGGATCTGATGGAAAATTTAAATTGTTTACTACAATTATTTATTCAAAAGATCTATAGGTACACTTTATAAGTTCATCTGTTACATACTGACGCCAAAATTGGTGGGTATTTTGTGGGCTTGTACACACTGAATGCGAGATTTCGTGAGGGAATCTGCTTGGGTGCATTGGTGATGAGAAACATTCTACGTACGTCGGCTGCCAGTCCCTTATCCAGACACTTTTTTTTTCCTTGGCACTACAGCCCCAGTGGGCCTAGGCCTACCTCCATGAACTTCTCCGTTCACTTCGGTTTTTCTAGATCTTACACATTTGGTAGGACTCCTTGGACGGGTGATCAGCTCGTCGCAAGGCCTCTACCTGTACACAAACACAGAAAAAAGCACACACACACAAAATAACATCCATGCTATGTGTGGGATCCGAACCACGATCCCGGCTTCCGAGCGAGCGAAGACAGTAATTGCCTTAGACCTCTCGGCTACCGTGATAGAAATCCAGACACTTCACTGAGGGATTTTTGGTCATATGTTCATCCTCTTACGTACTGCCAGTACAGTCGGTGGATATATTGCGAGCTCATGTACAAGTAGGATTCTGTTATGGTCATGATGAAACAGTGCGTATGCTTCAAGCTGTTAACTCCTACATTTAATGATCACATATAAGCTATAATCCGGTTCCAGGAAGAGAAACAAACGAACGGTTTTCGTGCTAAATTGCATACGCGTATTGATCTGCACTGTATGCTGACACTAGTGGCCAGCCTCTGATAAAAGAACAATGCTGCTTCGGATAGCAGGTTATTACTGACTCAGCACTGGTTCATCACTGAATAAACGGGTACAGGTCTGACCAAAAGTAATGCATGCCAACCGCTGCACTGCAGCGTGTATGTATATTGATTTACGAACTAAAATATCCAAACAATAATCCAAAATAACAAAAAAACGTAAAGCTATCCGTGTAACAGATCGTGGCGGTCCATAGGGTTGTGAGACTTCGAGGCTCTCGCATTTAATAGATAATCGGCTCACATATGGTGGTGAGGTTGTTAGCTTTACGTGTCGGCCGCCCTTTACCCCCAGGAATATTCCTGGTACTCTTTTCTGTTAGAGGCTGAGTCGACCCTAGGGTTATACTGCAGCTGGAAGGATTAGGTCAATTGAGAAATCCAATGACATTGGGAATCGAACCCGCGACCTTCTGGCTTGTAACATAGTGCCTGAATTATCTACGATACCGCGTGTCCGCACCTCATAAACATATTTACTTACTTATGGACCTGAACCCTTCTTGAGGAGCCGCCAAATCTGCAGCTATTCAAGAATTTCCCAGCATTTTATGGAACCCGAAGATTCATTGCCGTGTTCACAAGAGCCCTCCACTGGTCCCTATCTTGAGCCAGATCAATTTAAACCATACCATCCCATCCTATTTCTCTAAGATCCATTTTAATATTGTCCACCCACCTACTCCTTGGTCTCCCCAGTGGTCTGCTTCCTTATGGCTTACCTAATAAACACAGAAAGACAAAAAATTATTACGTAAAGCAGTTATAACGGGGGTTTACTGTGCATGAACTGACATGTAAGAATCCGTCTCAGAAGCGAAATGAGTGCAGTTTGGCCGCTCTAGAACCACATAGAAGCCAAGAACTGAATCTCTCATTAAGCTCGCTGGACAGGGCTGCAACAGTGGAGAGGGCTCACCCCATGTCTCGCCGGTAAGGGAGAAGCTTCATCATTCGTCGTTATTTGTAAATCGCGATTTATTTTGTAGTTCCATTTACTTCATGATCTATTTAACGACGCTATTAACATTTCAGGCTATGTAGCTTCGAATTATAGGATGATTAAGTGGAAGGGACTTGGAAGGAGGCGGTCCTGGCCTTCCACCTTCCTGGAAAATGACTGGCAGGGCTGAGGAAAACCACGAAAAATCTCGGTCAGTTTAGTCTGTATCCCAGCCGAGATTCGCACTCAGTACTTCTCGAGTAGAAGTCAGAAACTTTATCGCTTGAGCCCGCCTGCTCGGTATTTTGTTTTATCTTATCGCACTGAATAATTTTTTAAAATTTTAAATACCAGCATTCTATTATAATGATTATGTATATATAATTCTGGAGCCGGGATAGCTCAGTCGGTATAGCGGACTGGACTATGCTACGGATTGGTTGACCGGGGTTCGATTACCGGCAGGGGAAAGAAATTTTTCTCTTTTTCATAGCGTCCGGCCCGGCTCCGGAACCCACGCAGCCTCCTATCCAATGAGTACCGGGGTTGTATCACCGGACGCAAAGCTGACTGCTCATCTCTAACTAGTTACCAAGTCGTGAATAGTGGAGCTATACCTCTACATATAGGGGGCAAGCGGTAGCGTAGTTTGTCGAGGCCTATGCTACAAGCCGGAAGGTCGCGGGTTTGGTTCCCGATGAGTTAATTGAATTTTGCAATTGACCTAATCCTTCTAGCCGCACTATGTCCCTGGGGTCGTCTCAGCCTCTAACAGAAATGATTACCAGGAATCTTCCTGGGGGGTAAAGGACAACCGGCCGGAGGCGTAAGCCTGACGACCTCACCGCCATCTGTGAGCGAATTGTCTAGAAAATGTGGGAGCCTGGACGTCTCACAACCCTGTGGGCCTTTACGGCCTGTTATAGGGATGGCTGTACCTTTACTTTTACTCCTAGGTCTCCCTTACCGCCATCTGTGAGCCGATTGTCTAGATAATGTGGGAGCCTCGACGTCTCACAACCGTATGGGCCTTCACGGCCTGTTACATGGATTATTCTAGTTGATGTTGGCGCGGCAGATACAGTTTTTTTATTGCTAGTGGGGTGGGACTAAGTCCCTTGTACTGCGACCACTTCTGGCCTATTGTACCAGCCCCAGAAGATAGGTGAGGGTGATTGTGGAGCAATTGGTGGAATGAAGATTAGCAGGGGAAACCGAAGTCCTCAGAGAAAACCTGCCCCAGCGCCACATTGTACACCACAAATCCCACTTGACCAGACCCGGGATCGAACCCGGGCGACTAACCGCTTGAGCTACGGAGCGATTTGACAGATACAGTTACTTAAGTCACTCGGAATCAGTAACAGAACGGTTAAGTAACCTATCGATTGATTTCCCTGTTTACAGCGTACCTACAGCGAGGCTTCTACAACGTGATCTTGGTGGACTGGCATGAGCTCTCAGCTATGCCGTGGTACATCGCGGCTGTTCGGAACTGTCAAGTAGTGGGGCTTTACTTGGCGAAGTTTCTAGACTACCTGGACAGTAGGGGGATCCCCCTCAGCAATGTGCACATTATAGGCTTCAGCCTCGGAGCGGAGGTAGCAGGATACACCGGGCAGAATCTTAGGGATGACAAGGATCCAAAACTTCCCAGGATAACGGGTGAGTCCTAGCGTTTCCTGTAACTAATTTTTCTGTGGAAACCTTAAGTAAAGAAACCAATATAAAGACCTAAACGTAAATTAAAGGAATATATTGCCTGCATCAGCTCTTCTGTTGTGTGACGTCACCGCGCACGCGTATCCAGCGGGCGCTACATAGCAACGGCTGTATGCGTAACGTATCGTGACATCTCCTCTATTGTTGCGTGGGGCCATTACCTAGCAACGGCTGATGTCTTCACAGTCACCTCTTAGCAACGGGACTACATGCCACACTATTAAAACGTAACTTAGATAAAGAGGCTGCGGTTATGGATTAGATTCATCTGGCTCAGGAACATAAAAAGGAACCTCCTGGTTCCATAAAATGTTGGTATTTTCTTGAATGGCTGAGCTATTGTTATCTTCTCAAGAGGGACTTGATTCCACGGAATTATTTTATTAATATAACGGTCTGCAGAATGACGGTTAGCGTTTTCCAAGTCATTATTCACAATTACGAAGTCATGAATGCGTATGGAGGAGTGAAGGTACAGACCTAAGTTTTCTTGACCTCGGCACTAGATGGAGGTGAGTGGTCAGCTTCACGCCCATGCCGCTTTACCCTCGGGGATACAACCCACAGTCCAGTGATTGAGGCTAGCTCTTTCTAACGGACCCAACAGAATAGGTGTTTTCCTTCACCTGAGGATGGAAACAGATCCAGTTTCCGAAACGTCGTGTTTTTATTAGTTATCTTAAAAACCAGGACGATGGATAAAGTCCAAAAACCCAATATATCAGTGTGTTATACACCATCGTCAGAATCCTATAGTAACTACTTGACAAGTTCTTTGCTCCTGCTGGAAATCGAACCCCGATTCTTCGATCGTCCAGACCTAGCTTAGTCGGTATCTCCTAATTATGTTAGTACTATCATCTGGAACACAGCGGCGGCCCGAGTTCGATCCCAGGTCTGGTCAAGTGAGATTTGTGGTGGACAAAGTGGCGCTGGGGCAGGGTTTCTCCGAGTACTTCGGTTTCCCCTGCCAATCTTCATTCCACCAATTGCTCCACAATCACCCTCACCTATCATCTGGAGCTGGTACAATAAGCCAGAAGTGGCCGCAGTACAAGGAACTTAGTCCCACCCCACTAGCAATAAAAGGAAATAATAAAAAAATCGTATGGAATGTGACGTAATGTACTTCGGTAGAAATTCATTCCGTTTGCTACTTTTTCCTTGATTTACTTTTCGACACTGAAGATGGAAGGTAGTTCTTCCTCTGAAACTTTGGAAACCCCACAAGACTACACGAGGATAGATTCCAACCTATAGCACTTTGAACCTTTCAATGATTCAGACAGAGTTCTCATTAGAACATCCTTACATAAGGGAATGACCGAAGTTTGCTAATGACAATCCTGACTAGAACTGCGAATACAATGCAAGCAAATTAGAAGGCCGATAAAGCGAGCCGAAATGCGAGTAATTTGTACGGGGAGGAAAAACTATTTTATTTTTTATTCGCTTAGTGGGGGGTGGAGTCCAACTGGGTCCACTCGGCACGGCGGCCACTGATTGGCCTATTGTACCTGCCCCGGGTGATGATGGAGAATTTGGTGGAATGAAGATTGGCAGGAGAAACCGAAGTACTCGGAGAAAACCCGCCCCAGTGCCACTTTTTCCATCACAAATCCCACTTGACCAGAACCGGGATCGAACCCGGGCCGCCACGGTGAGAAGCCAGTGACTAATCGCTTGAGCTATGGCGCGGCCGAGGAAAAACTAAGACCGGGAAATTAATTACTGATGTTTTTCAATGAGAACAAAAGATACGCGGAATATGCAACTATTATTATTATTATTATTATTATTATTATTATTATTAATTTCCTCTGTCGCTTTGAATCTCGCAGCTAAACTTCATCTGTCAGTCTGTCAACATGTTCACTCAACCGACCGACCTGTCAGGCGTTCAGAACCGTCCGTAAAAGCCTCATTTTAGCTCTTGCGCCCACAACGCGTTGGCGGTTGGGTGTACAAATGTTTTAATTAACTCCCTCAGGTTCTCCCTCCGGTTCAGCTACGCATGCGCGGAGATCACGTTCTGATCCAATATCAGACTCAGTTCCGTAATTCCGAACAGCCGTAATGTTAAACTAAATTGAAATTTTGCTAGTGGAGTGGCATACGTTGTAACGAATTGACCTCTCTGTCTGATAACCAGAGAAGCACGCTCAAGTCCGATGTTGGATAAATACGACACATTTCATATTAGCCGACTCCCTGGAATGAACTCAGCTGATCAAGACATCTTACTTCTTTAATGGGTCCCAGAATGTTATATGAGTCCGCCACATTGATCACGTTCTGAGCTGACAAAATCCAATCAGCATCCAAAGAGCCTATTTATTTAACGCGATAATTGTTTATAGATAATATTGTGATGCATATGACCATTGTTAGGCAACGGCTCGGTAAAAGTAGTCCCGGAGTTACGCTCTCAAAAATAGGATAACCATTGCTAGGTAACGAACTAATAAACAAGCATTCTTGATAACAGATGACGGTATTTTCCGTGGGGTCCATGCCGAGGAATTATAAGAGGGCACAGAAAGGAGAATGAACATGCCCGCTGTATAGGACAAAGTGAAGTCAGACATAGAAAATATTAAGAGGCTTAAACTTGTCGGCGGTCAAGTTTATGACCGTTCAAGCGCTGTTGTAGCACAATGTAACGTGTATTGTCAGGAAACGGCGCGATAAAAAACTTCTCGTTGAAGGTCACGCAACAATATTACGCATGTTTATAGTTCGTTGCTAGGCAACATTTAGCGCCCCAATGGACTGGCGAGATAGTTATCACGTGACTTGTTTTCTGTGTGGTCTGCACTACGCTGCAGTGGAACTGTGTTTTCTGTTCGTGGTCCGTGCCGAGAGGATATGAGATAATGCGGGAATGGGAATTGACTTCACTTGAGTTCCGAAGTTCAAAGGGAAGAGCAGTGTGGCCAGAAGAAGAATTAGAGGGCTTAGTGTGTGACGTTACATATGCTATAGTTACAGTAATCTTGAAAGTGTAATAACTAATCGTAGTTACGACTAGTGAAGAAGCAGCAGCAGCCCGTAGCCAGTCGCTATACCGACTACGCTATCCCGGCTAATATTCTAGAAGATAGTAATCTTATTTACAATATGTTTTAATATTATCTACCCAAAAGGCCTTTTCCTTCTAAGTTCACCAACTAAAACCTTATATCCATGTTAATTGGGCCCCTTGCAACAACGACATTGCGCTGTCAGGTTATGTACGAAGCAGACGACCTCCAGATAGGAAGCGTGGTTGCTTATTGAGTAAGCAGATACGGACAGACAAGGGTTCGTTCTCCACATGGTGGGGGAAGCGAGAAGCCCTTCGTGGAACATGGAACATCAATTAATAAACATTGATCTAGATGCAAACTGGCTTCAATAAGCTCATGAAGATGTTCAATAGCGGGGGTTGGCATTAGCAGCGAACCTTCCGTTTCTACAAGCGAGAACACGAGGCAGCAATCCGCCAGCCAATCACACACCATTCAGGTAGGATCTAAAGGGTTCCTGAAGATGGTGTATAACACGCGGGATCACTGGGCCTTATGGACTTTGTTCATCGCCTGGTGATCTAAACAACGCAGTGTTTCGGAAACTGTTCCTTTTCCGGTCCTCAGGTGAAGGAATGGAAGACAGATATCCAGTAATCACGAATTATTATTCAATATGAGAGCGAGTCAATTGATTATTTCAATCATCAAGTCATTCAGATCTTTATAGTCAGTTAAGTCATCCAATTACTCAAATCATGTGATCCGGGGTAGCGCACTTGGTATAGCGACTGCCTACGGGCTGGACGGCCAAGGGGTCGGAGTTTGAGTCCCGGTAGTGTCAGAATATTCTCTCCTCCATATCGTCCAGGTCGGCTTTGGGGCCCACCCAGCCTCCTATCCAAAGGGTACTGGAGGCTCTTTCCTTGGGGGTACAGCGTCAGGGGCGTGAAGCTGACCACTCACCTCCAACTAGTGACGAGGTCAAGAAAATGTGGACCTATACATCCACTCCACATACGCCTTCGTGGCGTAGTGCTTAATTAGTTAAGCAGAGGGACAAATTTACCTTTATTACTCAAGTTACGCAGTTCGTACCACCGGCATTACAGCCTTTCATTATTTGTTAAGTTTTGTTTGTGTGTGTTGTGACGGTCAGTAATCGCAAAACTTTCTGCGCACAGGACTGGACCCAGCCTATCCTCTGTTCAAATACGTCCATACTGGGCTTCGTCTGAGTAAAGGAGACGCTATATTTGTTGATGTGATCCACACGGACGGAGGTGTTCTGGGCTTCCCTTCGCGTGTTGGACACGCCGATTTCTTTCCAAATGGAGGAAAACCGTTGCAGCCGGGTTGTGATCTCTCGTCTATCTTCGCCCGCTCGTCGTTTGAAGACTTAAGTGAGTTAAGGCATTCACCGCAATATCGCCAAGCCCAAGTAATTAGTCCATAGCAACTGATAATAATCTTTAATTCCGAATGAAGGAATGAAGCTTTTCGCTGTCAAAATGTTACGATTCTTTTTTTCGTCTATTATAATAGACGAAAAAAAAGATAATTATCTTTAGTTTGAAGATAATAAGAGGGACTTTATGACATCACCTTGCTCTCTGAGTATCTGAATGTCCGTTCCTAGTTGTTTATCGATCCAGTCATCCACGCATCATTCGAATTATCCATATCTATCTGTTTATCTATCTATCTATCTATCTCTCTATCTATCTGTATAGCTATCTGTCTGTCTAGCTATCTGTCTGTCTAGCTATGTCTGTCTAGCTATCTGTCTGTCCATCCATCCAACTATCTGATCAGATCTAATCTAATCTTATCTATCTATACACTATCTACCCACCTACCTCTCTGTCTGTCTGTCTAGCTAATGTGGAAGGATGCGGTCGTGGCCTAATATGAGGTGCTCCTCCGGATTTTGCCTGGAGGGAGGAAAGGAAGCCGCGAAGGCCTAAGCAATGATACCGAGTCTCCGGCTCGTGATTATTAAATACAAAGCAGCAGCAATATTTGATCAACCACTGCATCTGGTGGGTAGATTCTTTACAGGCAGGACAATGCTACTCCGAGAATTTATCCCCGAATTTAGGGACATTTCATTCGGAATCTGGACCCGAACCTGCGATAACAGCAGAGTTCTTTTCAAAGCATTTCAAAACAGAACAGTTTACCTACTCCCTAGTGTAATCAGCTCCCTAGATATTGAACAAGAACCTTGGGGGTTTCCCTCTGAGAATATCATGTCGAGGTATCGATTTCTTTTGTAGCGTCGTGTGTGTGTTCATGTTTCATGTATATTGAGAAACGTTCAGTGGCAACTGACAAAAAAACTGTCGCACTAGGACGTTTCGAGGCACTGCTTATATATCCGTTTTACGAAGTACAAGTATACGAGGAACTCCGCGTCCATCTCCGGAAGTACTAAACGGATTCAGCCGAAGATGAATACTGCCTTCTGGGAAATGACGCCCCCGGTAGATGTCCGCAAACATATTTAGATGAAATCTGATATTTCGGGGTCACATAAAATATTACCGGGCGAATTTAAATTTATTTCGCATCGGGATAGCGACTGGTTACGAGCTGGACAGCCGGGTTCCGGTAGAATCAAGAATTTTCTCTTCTCCACGTCGATCAGGCCGGCTCCGGGGTCCACCCGACTTCTTATCCAATGGGTACGAAGGGCTCTTTCCCTGGGGGCAAAGTGGCTGGAGCGTGAAGCTGACCAGTCACTTCCAGCTAGTGCCGAGGCCAAGGAAATTTGGACCTATACATCAACTCATACATCCGCTTTCATGGCGTAGTGCTTAATTAGTTAAGTACAGGGACAACTTTACCTTATAGGTTTAATATAAAAGTGCAAGCTGTAGCGTAGTTGGTTGAGGCATTATGCTACAAGCAGGAAGGTCGCGGGTTCAATTCCCGATGAAGTCATTGGAGTTTTAAATTGACCTAAAGTTTGCAGCCGCATTATGGCCCTGGGGTCGACTCAGCCTCTAACAGAAATGAGTACCAGGAATCTTCCTGGGGGGTAAAGGGAGACCGGCGCGTAAGACTGACAACCTCACCGCCATCTGTGAGTAGATTGTCTAGAGAATGTGGAAGCTTCGACCCTGTGGGCCTCCACGGCCTGTTACGAAGATGGCGTTACTTTTACCTGTATGGGTTCAATATAATCCTGTCTTCAGATCACGTTACGAATAGGTGAAATGTAAAGTTGTCCCTGTGCTTAGAGCGCCATTATGAAGAATTGGGGGAGTGGAGATGTAGCTCCATCAATCTTAACCTCGACAGTAGATGGAGGTGAGTGGTCAGCTTCACGTCCCCAGTGTCTTTACTCCCGAGGAAAGGGCCCTCTGTACCTATTGAATAGGAGGACGGGAGAGTCCCGGAGCCGTTTTTGGCGCTGTTGTACAGGAAAAAATATCTTTTGCCCCTGATGGCAATCTAACCCCTGTCCTCCATCACATCCATATCCAAGATATAAATTACATGTTTTCTCTAAAATGTCTCATTATTTATAAATCCTGCGCAACAAAATATGCATCTGTATAAAGTTAACGCTTCGGACCAACAGATTTTTCAATGCGGCGTGTATATTTAAGAAACGTCATCAGAATAATTACGTTATCTCACTGTCAACAGATGTCTCTTTAATTTAGCGAATATTAAATACTGATTTCTGCCAAAAGATGTCAGCACAAGATCTGTAAGCAACGGAAACGAAGATATGTATTTGTACCTGCAGCAACTGAAAGACAGAGCCATAAAGCAACGCATGTTCGCTGAGCGTGTTTGCATTGCTGCTATCCGCACAAACACATACACACATGTGCACTTGGATTTCCCGACAAGAAAGAATTCTCAGCATGCATGCTGTGGGGGGGGGACTACGCTTTGTCAGCCGCCCCCGACTGCTTCCCATATTCTCAGCTATCCTATAAAAAAAAAGCCGCACCATAGCTCAAGCGGTTAGTCGCTGGTTTCCCACCGCGGCGCCCCGGATTCAAACCCGGGTGTGGTCAAGTGGGATTTTTGGTGGACAAAGTGACGCTGGGGTAGGTATTCCCCGAGTACTTCGGTTTCCCCTACCAATCTTCATTCCACCAAATTATCCATCATCATAATCACCCGGGGCAGGTACAATAGGCTAATCAGTGGCCGCCGTGCCGAGTGGACCCAACTGGACTCCACCCCTCACTATGCAAATTAAAAAAAAATTATCCTACAAAAATGCAGACACCCCCCCCCATTCCAGTCCACACTGAGATCACATCATTATGCTCTGGTAACAATAAACCGTTTAACTTTGTGTAAGCATAAAAAAGCCAAAAGGTAAAGTTCCCGTGCTTCACTAATTATGCACTGTGCATTGACGTATGGGACAGTGAATGTATAGATCCACAATTTCTTTATCTCGGCACTAGTTGGAGGTGAGTGGTCAGCTTCACGCGCCGGCCACTTTATCCCCGGTACCCATTGTATAGGAGGTTGGGTGGACCTCAGAGTTTGTCTGTAAGATATAAAGAAGTAAAAATTTTTGACCCTACCAGGACTCGAACTCCCGACTTCTTGGTCATCTAGCCCGTAGCCAGTCGCTATACTGACTACGCTACCCCGGCTTCTTAACTTGGCGTAAGTTAGTTACAAAATTATACAAGTAATTAATTTGCCTCAGAAAACTGTCGAAGAAAAATAATTTTAAATTCGTTATTAAAAATGAACTTGAGGCACTATGCTACAATCCGGAAGGTCGCGGGTTCAAAACCCGTTGAGGTCATTGGATTTTTTTCAATTGACCTAATCCTTCCAGCCGCACTATGGCCCTGGGGTCGACTAAGCCTCTAACAGGAAAGAGTACCAGGAATATTCCTGGGGGCAAAGGACGGCCGGCGCGTAAGGCTGACAACCTTGCCGCCATCTATGAGCCAGTTGTCTAGAAAATGTGGGAACCTCAACATCTCGCAACCCTATGGGCCTCCACGGCCTGTTACAGGCATAGCTTTACTTTTTTACTTTTACTTTTATTAAAAATGAACACATGAAAAGTTTGTAAACCTAAATTTTCACAGGATTTTCCTTGTTTCCTACAGCTGCTTTTATGAAAGGTAAAGTTGTCCCCATGCTTAACTAATTAAGCACTTTAGTGGCTTTTATAGAAACTTAAATGTAGGGCTGTATTACTGAAACGACTCTGTTCAGTGCAGCTGTTGGATATGTTGTGCTTGAAAGCAGAGCAGGCAGTACTTTCTACCGATAAAATTTGCAACAGAAGCTGAAATGATAATGGCAGAATGTTCTCGAATATAGAAAATGCTTAAAGCAGAATATGGAGGATATATCCGCCGTGGTTCATGAGTACGATAGCGGGGAACATTTCCCTCAATGCGCTCTATGTAAGCTTTCAGTCTGATGGCTGCAGGGGAGAAGTGTCAAGTAAAGTTTCAGTTTACTAACTTATTGGTGAGTCGTGGCAGAATACAGAAAGTTTGGTGTTGCTGGGAAATTATGTAATACATAGCGTTCCCACTCAACTATGTTATTAAACACTCTAACGAAAGTTTGCATTAAGGGAGCGATTACTGCACTCTGAATATTTCACCGATGCTACTACCTGTGAATACGCATAGAATTTATTAAAGAGATGATTCTCATGAATTTACATCTTAACAAGTGTGTGAGATAGTTAGCTGTGCTCAAAATATTGTGACATGATGGCTGAAAGCCGGAATATTCGAATAAATAAATGCGGCCATTATTAGGCAACGACGTGGTAAACATATTTCCACGGAAACATATACTGCCGCAACAATAAAGGACTAGGTGTTTTCTACGCAGTCCTGTCCGAGGTTCCGACCTTCACTCCGAGGTCGGATTCGGTGGTTAGCAGTCTCGAGTTACAAATATTAGCAGCCAATACCTAGCAACGACTAGTGAACAAGTGGAAGACCTTATGTGCGCTGCAATTTTAATGACATACTGAATGTGTAAATCAGTGAGATTGCTATAGTTATTTGTAGTTCCGTGTTATAAGCGTGGAATAAAACCTAGTCACTAACACGTGACAATATATCATTTGACAACACTGTTTCGACTGCAAAAGATTTCACAGTGTTTAATGAAAGAGCAAAATGTACGTCAATGACGAATTCAATGGGATTTGGAAAGACACGCTAAGAAAAATACGGAAAATTTGTAGGACAACCGTGGACGTTAAAGATTTCTATTGTGTTTTTCTGGGTTATGACATGTTGCTATATTCTGGCAAGCAGGTATTAACATTTCGGAGAAACATTTTCCTACGAGACGTTGCTATCTGCCCGCTAGATCATAACATCTTGACAGAGCGAAGTAGATTGAAACATAATAAAACGTTTGTTACAAATCCACAGTTTATCGTGATCTTTAAAAATGTATGAAACAAAATTTAGTTTTATAATCCGTAAATAACGTTAAGAACAGAGAAATTCCCAGAAGGTAGAAAGAATTTTGAAATAGAGGTAAACTCTAAATGTGTGTATATGTAGGACTAGTGTTGAAATGGACAAAGTTGAAAGGTGAAGCTATCCCTACCGTGGAGGTCCATAGGGATGTGAGACGTCGAGGTTCCAACATTTTCTAGACAATCAGCTCACAGATGGCGGCGAGGTTGACAACCTTACGTGTCGGCCACCATTTACCCCCCAGGAATATTCCTGGTACTCATTTCTGTTAGAGGCTAAATCGACTCCAGGGTCATAGTGCGGCTAGAAGGATTAGGTCAATTGGAAAATCCAATGACCTCATCGGGATTCGAACCCGTGACCTTCCGGTTTGTAGCATTAGTGCCTCAACCAACTAGTCTACCGCGTTCCTCCTTTATGATGAAATTAAAAATACGACTTTGAGATGGGCTCTGTTAGGTCAAGAACTTCAAAGCTGAAAAGGGGGACACACTGGCACATAGGCAGGTATTCATACAGATGTACACAGACTGGCGCAACATGTACACACGGCCATGAGGTCTCATAAGCCTGCTTCAGTTCCCTAAGCTAGGAGAGCAATTTAAAGAACGTCCACACCAAGAAACCCACCACTGGTTACTGAACAACCTTCTTAACGGACATTCAGACGTGCTAGATATTTGTATGTCTTGTATCATACATGAAGAAAGCTGTCTTCTGGGATGTGGCGCCGTGTAGATAGTGTTAACAGACGTTTCGGAAAAATGTATCGCCTCCATCTTCAGCGTAGAAGAAACAAGAAAATCCGTGAGCGAGGAACCAGCGTGAGCAGGTGCTGACAGACTAATGGTCAAGCTGGTTCCTCGCTCACGGATTTTCTTGTTTCTTCTACCCTGAAGATGGAGGCGATACGTTCTTCCGAAACGTCAGTTAACACATATCTACGGAGCCACATCCCAGAAGACGGCTTTCTTCACAGTCACCGCCGTGAAAACCTCAGATGTTACATTTTATCATACACTTTATAGAACATATGAACAGGAATTTGCACTCTGTACGTTCAGATTCTGAACAAGCTCACAGTCCCAAAACCGCTGCTCTCCACACAGTATTGACTTTCGAATAATTATGGGGGCGTGCTGAAGCCCATTACCTCTGCCTTTGCTGCCCCCATCCCAAGTTTCCATATCCCTTCTGTAACTCAGGGCCGAGCTATATTTAGATGCAATGTCATGTCAGTGCAGAAAAGATTTAAGCATTATATTTAATGTTCGGACAGTACACAGGAGACTATTAACATTGTGAGGAGTCAATGTTGTAATGTTTCAGCGTTCTGCAGTCACAAGAGAGCCTGGAAGTATTATGCGGAATCCGTAAACAACGAAGCTGGATTCCCCGCAGTGCGATGCGAGGACTGGCAGGATTTTCGCTTAGGGATGTGTTCTCCTGAGCATGGAATTACTTACATGGGGATAGCAGCAACTGCCAGGTGATACTAATAACAATTTTCTTCAATACTTGGACATAGGCCGGGTGTTTCCAGGGCGTAATGCGCAATCGTAAGAAACAAAAATATATACCTAAACCTTGTAGACCTAGAAGGTAGTTAAGGTTTCCTCCCGCATCCTAGCAACGACAGAAGACAATCTGATTTCCCTCATATCCTAGTAATATAATAGCTTGGGGGTTTCCCCGTATCAAAGTAACGGAAAAAATATATTCTAGGTTTTCCCAATATCTTAGCAACATAAGATATTTTGGGGGTTCCCCCTTATTGTAGCAACAGCAGATATTAATTAGGGTTTTACACCGTAGCCTATTAATGGACCCCTCCTTGTCACGATCCTATTGTTGTCTTACTTACAGAGGAAGTAATGGGGAGTTAAGATGGCTTGGACTTAACCCCAGGTATATTTTGAAGTGTCTAAAATATCCCCAGGGAATTCTTCTATCATCATGCCAGATTCATCTGAAACTTGTGAAATTGCATAGAAATGTAAAAAAAAAAGTTTTCCTTTATACATAGATAGAAGTGAGAGACATAGGTGGCTAGCCTTCATAGCTTCTCAAGAACCCTACATATTGGAGTTACTTTATTGGTACTACAAAGTGAAGCACTTAATGTTAAGACTGTAAGAAAAAACGAATCCACGTGTAGTTTAATTCACGAGATTAGATGGTTGCCGAATTTAAAATAGCTATATAAATATAAAAACACTATTTTTATCATCTCGTGCTCTCTATGTAATTTAAATTTTATATTCCTTACAGCTCATATCGGAATTTTAGGCTCTTTCTTAAAGAGATCTGCCAGGTTTTACTCCAGAACTTTCTTCTTGTTTCTTTTGATTCAGAAGTGACATCTTTTCCAGACGGAAAAATAATTTAATCTCTCTGGAGTTCTACCCTTGTGCCGCTCAGTGAAAGAACAGTTTAGGTAAAGCTACCCCAAAAAATCTAGAAATAGCTGTTTTTATTAAAAAAGAATTAATTCAGTTTGGAGCAAAAGAATTTTCAAAAGCGTTATTTGTAATTTTGAATCTCTTATTGACTCTACTGTCTTCTGTTGACATAGCAAATAAACAGATAATATACACCCCAGCATAACCTATTCCTTAATTTTACTGTCAAAAGTTAATTTTCATTTCATGCATCCTGTTGTGTTACAATTACAACCTCTTTATTACAACCGTCACAACACAAAAATAACAAGGTCAGTGCGTAGTTTCGGCTCCTCTGCTACATGTTTCGGCTATCAATAGCCATCATCAGGAAAATACACGGTTAACATATATACACCACTGAACTGCAGTACTAGTAAAATTGGATACAATACTATTAATTATATAAAACACTTGATGTAAAAACACAATAAATCAGATTATATAAAACAGAAGTTATAGTATAAAACAAGAATAAAATTCTTAGATTGATGTTTTATATCATCGAATCAGTCGTTAGTTTTGTAATTTCGTTGCGTTCCCACGGACAAATTGGAATATTCTATATTTTTTGTATATAAAATTGTATAGGAGGCTCGTGATGTAGATGTAGTAAATTAATGTTAATCTGAAAATGATATGAAAGTAATGATATTAAATTTTGTTATAATCAACAATTGATTTTAGTATTGAAGATACAGTGTACATTACTTACTGTTTAGTCGGTGCCTCATCTCACAAAGTACTGTCCGTTCTGTAGGGAATGTAAACGACTGATTTGGTGATGTAAGATTAAAGTCAATGCAAGGAAGGGAGGGGGTAGAGATAACGTGTATGCGGAAGTGCTGGTAGGGTGTGGAAGGGGGCCATGACTATATATTATGTTTTCATGTATCAATGATTACATCATATATAGGGCTAAGCATTTCGGTAAAATTAACATTCAGTTGCAAATTTAGTTTGCTGACTTCGTAAATGTGAAATCTTTCATATGTATCCAAGGTTCGGCCTTTCTTGCCGATGTATAGAACTTCTGTTTTGTCTATCGTACTATATTCATGTGTGGTGTCCAACACATGTTGAGCAAATTTGGAGCTTTGTCCGTTATTTTTTATGTCTCGTATGTGTTCTCTGAATCTGACCTTAAAGGTACGTCCGGTCTGTCCTATATATTTTAATAGACAGTCAGAACATTGTAGTTGGTAAACCCCACTAAGATTATACATATAATTTTTGTCATCATTTATTTTCAACAGATGTTTTATATTGCTTTTGTCTTATACGATACACCAATTTCAGTATTCTTGAGAAGTTTAGCAATAGATCTGACTTCATGGCCGAAATAGGTAAAGGTAGTCCATTTATTTTTCAGCGTAGTATTTTTTGTGGATGATTTTTGTGTTAGTTGTATGGTATTTAGTGGGTAGTTATTATTATTTACTATAGTTCTAACAGTGTTTTCGTCTATGTTTTGTTGTTATGCGAAAGGGGATATTGATTCAATCGATTAATGAGAAAGTATTTAGGAGCTTTTTTGTGTTCAAATGGGTGACATGAATCTTTGTGGATGATTAGATCAGTAGTTGCAGGTTTTCGATAGATTCCTAGTTGTAGGTTTTCGCTTGTTTTTTCGGTGGATAAATCTAAGAAACTGATCTCATTATGTGTTTCTTTTTCTATTGTGAATTTGATATTAGGGTGAATATTGTTGAATTCATACAACGTATTTTCAATGTTAGTTATATGGGAATTATAAATGATTAAAATATCGTCAACGTATCTAAAATAACCTATTATTTGGTATTTCGTCAAAATATCAATGACAGTTTTATGTTCCAGGTATTGTATAAATACCTCTGAAGTTGGTGCTCCCATGGCAAGACCTTCATTTTATTTAAACCATTTGCCATTATGTTCAATATAATTTTGTTCTAACATTATGTTTAGCAGGTTATTAATTTCAATTTTTTTCATGTGAAATTTTTTTATTCTTAGCTATAATATTTTCAGTAATACTGAAAAATTCTTTTGTGGGGATACTGGTATACATATTTTCGATATCGAAAGAACACATTTGTGTATTGTTATTTATTTAAATGAGTTGTGATGAGTGTGCTAGTGTACTAGTGTTTTTCACGTTAAAAGCATTAGATAGTTGTAATGTATTTGTTAATATTGTGTTTAGGTGTTTAGCTAGATTACATGAGGGGCAGTTTGTCCAATTGACTGTTGGTTGTATGGGTTGTCCCTGCTTCTGTAATTTAATAGTGCCGTATATGTGTGGTGCGCGGGGGTTCATGTTTATAAGTTACGACTTATCTTTTTGTTTTATGATGGTTTTACAATTGTTTATGTAATTCCTTGTAATTTGTTGGACTTTGTTGGTAATATCGTGTGACAACTCAGTAACGTTATTATTGTTAATGAAGTTATCAAGTTTATTGATATAATCGTCTTTTTTTTAGAATGACTAGTGTGTTGCCTTTATCGGCTTTTGCTATTATTGAGTGACTATTAATTAATTTTTGTTTGATGTTCTTTACTGTGTTCCATTCTACATGCTCTTTTTGAATGTATATTTTATTTTTTTTATTTGTCTCTTAATTATTTTTTTATATAATTGTTGTTATAACAAAATTTAATACTGTTACTTTCATATCATTTTCAGATTAATATTAATTTACTACGTCTACATCATGAGCCTCCTGTACAACTTTATATACAAAAAATATAGAATATTCCAATTTGTCCATGGGAACTCAACGAAATTACAAAACCAACGACTGATTCGATGACATAAACATCAATCTAAGAATTTTATTCTTGTTTTGTACTATAACTTTTGTTTTATGTAATCTGGTTTATTGTATTTTTACGTCAATTATTTTATAAAATTAATACTATTGTAACCAATTTTACTAGTACTGTAGTTCAGTGGTGTATACAGAGTGTTTCACGACTTTAGGGCATAACTGCAGGAAGTGATTTCCTACGTCTTTGTGATCAAAAAAGTTCATATAAACATGTGTCCGATTTTGGACGGTTATGGAGTTATGACCGTTTTTCCATTCCCGTACACCCCCTCGCGTGAACCGCGTCTGTCAGCTGGCGGTTCGCTATTTTTAGCCAGCTACAGACAGAGCGTTCTCGTTATCTCGACACTTGAGAGGTACCTAAGGCGGGGTGGGGTGCTATGTCCGGCGCGGTTCACAACCTACCGGCAGCATGTGTTGCGGCCGGCAGTGGCATTTTCGAAAATCAGCTTTAAGCACCAATAAATTCAAATTAAAGTTAATTTCACGAAGTTAACTTTACATTCATACTTTAAATGTGTCATGTATTATGCTGGTTTATTAGTTTGTTCCGTTTATTGTCGGTAATCGTTACCTTCTTTTCTGAGTTTAAAACGGTCATAACTCCGTAACCGTCCAAAATCGGACACATGTTTATATGAATCTTTTGATCACAAAGACCTAGGAAATCACCTCCTGCAGTTATGCCCTAAAGTCATGAAATACCCTGTATATGTTAACCGTGTATTTGCTTGATGATGGCTATTGATAGCCGAAACTAGGCACTGATCTTGATATTTTTGTGTTGTGACGGTTGTAATAAAGAGGTTATCAAAAGGTGACAGATAATATATTCCACTGTAAAGAGGAATTAATTACACACGTATGCTCCTTTAAGTGGACGTGTTGTCGGAAACATATCAGCTAAAAATTATATACCCGTACTTTAAAGTGGATTCAGTTTAATTTTATGCAACCATTTGTATACGATGAACAGTTTTCAAAAATTTCACAAGATTCAATTTTGAGTCTCGTGTAGAGTTCGAAGTACTATAATGGACCCCAACAGACCGAAAATTAAACTTCTCTAAAAAATTACCTTCACCAGTTCTTTCGTTTCCCTCAGGCACAAATATTTTCTCTGCCATTTTCTTCGCAATAACACCCAGTATTTTACTTGTATTTCAAAATCCTATTCATACTGAAGAGCAAGTAGATAAATATATTTTTTCTTTTCAGTTCATCAGGGAATTTCTTCTTAGAGACCAAACCAAATCCACCCTTCGCCATGATAAGCGGACGATGACGCGTGACCACAGACAGAATTGGATGTCATCGGTGAAATTGATGAGTGAACAAGAGAGAAACATCAGGCTGATTTACAGGATTCTTTTAACATCGAGTTTCGTCAGATTTCCACCTATACCGACAGATCTACAACATTATGTTTAAAAAACAACGAATAACGTTTATTTTTACTACACAGTAACTGCTTTGCATGGCATATCGGTTAATAATTATTCAGCTGAAAAGAGAAATTCATTCGATAGAAACCAAAAGTAAATCGTCGGTATTTAAAAATCTCAATATTAGATAATTTCCTGAGCCAGCTGAGTCCAATTGCAAGCGATTCATCTACGATCAAGTTAATATCGTTTCTCTGCCTACGCTTATATCCCACTAATTAATGATTTGCAAGACATGCTGTCGTCACTTCTTGCGTTTCCTAACAGTGAAACACGTCCCACCATCAGCTTGTATTTAGTCATCCGAAAAATATCATGTAAAGAGCAAGATTGCCATTTCTCACAACGGAAATATATTTTTGACATGTTACCAGAATCAGATATATATTTTCTTTGTATTTGTTTAAACGAACACTTCAGTAAGATCTGTCTCAAATAAAAGTTGCAGACCCTGAAAGAGCTGTACTTTATGACATATACCGTGTATGTTTGCCTCAATTGCTATGCGGTGAATAACTCTAATACTGAATTAATATGCGGGCGGTGAACCATAGTAGTCGAACTGTTGCATAGCAATGGACGCTCTATTCTTGAATGCTTGGGAATGCTTTTACCTATTTGTTTCCTAGAAACGGTCCAATCTGTCACGATATTTTGGTTCTAGACTTCCGACAAATTTTCTGAGAAAACTACAGCCTCCATCTTCAGGGAAGAATTAAAATATCGAGAGAGCAGGTTCCTCTGAAACGTTGGGAATCATTTGACAGCGTACACTGTGTCATATCCGGGGACGAAACAGTATTTCTGCATTGTGCCGAAACGGCGAATCCATTTCTGTTCATATTTGTTCAATCTATAATTCTTCCGAAATGTCTTTATCTCCTTTACATCCCATCAGTCTGCTCCGTGCCGTCTGTTCGTTGAAGGTTACTCCTTTACCCGCACGTGTTTTCAAAGCTTCTGTAGACTGGAGTTCAAGATATCCATCACGGAAATGAAGCAGTCCAGAGCCCCTCGTGGTTGTTGCCACCACTAAAGGGAAACTTCCATTAGCCTGAGGAAATTCTATTGTTTACTTTTTGTTCGTTTCCACTCTCATCCATACGCTCCGACCCTCAGCTACTGCGCTACAGCAAAGCGAAAGCACTCTGCTTTAGAACACCTGTCCCTGTGCCGGCTGGCTCTGCGTGACGCGAGGCACGCCTCAGTTCCATCAGAATTTGTTCTGTCGCACATGGCATAACGAACGGACGGGCTGATATGAGTTTTCTTGATTCAGTGACAGTCTAGTATGCGCATCCGTTAATATACTTTCATATACGTGAAATACAGTATGTGCGTTATACTATATTGTGGCATCTACACTCGTTGCTAGGCAACGACTGTGAAATAAATAGCTATACAAACTTCCGTTGCTAAGCAACAGATTCGTAACACGCAACAAAGGAGTAACGGGAAAGCGATGTTCTCTACGCGGCCCGTGCGACAGCTACGTCACGCAGTAGTAGAAGAACTAATGGGAGAGGTGTTTTCCATACGGTCCGTGCTGAGACCATATAACGAGGAGCAGCTGCGATTACGAGAGAGACGGCTTCCAGTGTGGAGGCGAGGCCGAATACCTCCAGCGTAACACCAATGTGGGATTGTCGATGCTTGAAGAGACAGCCATGTATTAAACTTCGATACAATATTTGTTGTTGCTATATTGAATGCATGGACACGTTGGAAGATTTTCTCCACTTCTCTCTCTGTAGCAGGTCTTCTGATGGACCGCTGTCCATGCTTCTTCAGGGTCACCAATGCGATGAAAAGGGAACCCAGTATCTTGGGGCATATCTGGGCCACTCTCTTCCTGGGGGACATAAATACGGGGACCTGGCCCGGAGTAGTCTAGAACCTGAGACAGTAAAATATGGTCATGAGAACCGGGGTCTCGGACCTGAGAATGACTATGTCAGCGAGGGTGAACACCAACTGTAAACGACAGACTCGTCCTCTCGTCAGAGAGGTTGTTACATAAGTACTATGCCTGCAAGTGTTCAGTTGGAAAATAAAATCTCTGGTTGTGATCCTCAAGGGGCTTGTCACCAAGACGAACCGATTGGGTAAAACGCCAGTCGTAAAGTGACTCTGACTCTGACTCTGATTACGAGAGAGTCTTGAGATGGCAGTTAGTAGAGTAAGAGGTAATTGTGAGGCAGTCGCCTGCCAGTAAGGGTGTGAACACGGAAGTTGTGGCGTTAGAAGCCGTTACCAGGCGACAACCGGTGAAGATACAGCAGATTGAGAAGACTTAGTGCTTGTTGTAGTGAATTGTGGAGTACGCTTTCACGCTGGTATGTAGTTCTGCTTTTTCGACCCTGAAGATAAAACCAATACATTCCTCCGAAACATTTGTTGACCCAACGGACTACACAGCATTATATCCCATAAGATAATGCTCTTCAAAATCATCTTGTGTTCTTTCACAGTAACAAGCCAAATGTCACACACGTTTATCTGCTTATCACAGATAAAATCCCCGTTCGCTAAGAGCCTTGCAGGCCTATCCAACGGTTTCCCACATCTCTACAGCTACGATGTTCCTTGTCCCCATAATTTCCCGGGCCAAGCTACTACTGTGACGTCACAGATTTGTTGGACTCATGCCAAGAGGCGAACCTTCCTCCAGCAGAGAAAATGGAGCGGGATAACTAGAAGGACAAACAAAATGGGGCGCGGCTATGTCCTGTAGTATGAGAACAGCTTTTATATTGACTCGACTGAGTTTCCTCCTCTCCTCTCCCCTCCCATCCCCCCTTTGCGTTTGGACCTCCATAGGATTTCTGGTAAAGCTCCAAATATAAAACATGGGAACAGTTTCTCTTAGCTTATCCGAATAATACTGGACAGCTGTGTCCCATAGTCTTCATACTATCCTGCGTGAATCATTTATGTCCATGTTAATTTACGGAGGCACGCGGCAGCGGAAGGTCGCGGGTTCGAGTCCCGGTGAGGTGGACATTTCTATTGATCTAATCCTTCCGGCTGCACTATGGCCCTGGGTTCGATTCAGACTCTAACAGAAATGTAGGTCCCCCAACGTCTCACAGCCCAATGGGCCTCCGTGGCCTGTTACAGGGATAGCTTTACTGCTCACTAATAAGTTCCTGCTTTACAGAGAATCAGAAGTTATGTTTCGTTACACGGTCACTGTATCAAAAAGTGGTAAAGGTGAAGAAAGTAAAGCTATCCCTCTAAGAGGCCGTGGAGGCTCATATGATTGTGAGACGTCGAGGCTAGTTAAATGGTTAGTACAATAAATTGCGTTATAAATTTCTTTATTACTTACTGAATGGAACAAAAATATTATTCCCATGTCAAAACCGCCAGACATTTTATACATACGAGCTTTCAGAAGAAGCCTTCGTAGTCGGTTTTGAGAGAGAGGAAATAACATTTGAGGTGTTTAGTGTGAAAAGGAATATAGCTTGAAAAATGCAGACAGTGTGTTCTGTTATCTTTCTATTTGGCAAATCACAAAGGAACGTAAAGACCGCCTCTGTGGCGTAGTAGTCAGATTTCCTGGCTACAGCTCCAGAGATCCCGGGTTCATTCCCGCCGCTACCAGATATTCTGAGAAGTAGTGGGTGTGGAACGGGGTCCGCTCAGCCTCGTGAGGACAATTGAGGAGCTACTTGATTGGAAAGGTAGCGGCTCCGGTCTAGAACACCGAAATTAACGGCCCTGGGGATTCGTTGTCCTGACCACGCGACATCCTCTATCCGAAAATGCTGGCACTAACGTCGCCTAGAAGCGGCGGTCGCTCGGTCGGTATAGTTGGCTTGCGGACTACAAGCCACGGAACTTGTTTAGTTTTGTTCTTGCCTAATTCGGACATTCAGTAAGTTTGATAAGGTTTCGCTCCCAATTAGTCCGAATTAGAGAGGTTTTACTATGCAACAAATAATGCAAGGCATTTCCAAACAAGCAGACAGACATACAGAGCCAAAGCAATGTCACACACACACACATTTGCGATGTTGCACTTTTGGAATCAGAGTAGAGATAAGACTAAGTGCAGGTCCTATATGTGAAAGTGGTTTGTAAGACGATTATTTTATTGGCGGTGGAAGAATGAACACAACTGTAGATAGCGATTTTCAGCTGTCCACACGCCACCTCGCGTGTTCTGTCTGACCTGTCACGCGACCTTCCCATGTCAGTATCTTGCGGCCAGCGCTCAATTGCCTTACAGCCTTGTGCCCTTGTACGTCGATATAAAGGATGTCATTTAAGGGAAGGATGACAGTCTGACTCGGTGCTTAGCAAGGTAATTAACTAACAACCTAATCAGCGAACTAATTAATTAAGCAATAAATCGACAAATGAACACAAAAACTAAGTAACAAAAGAAGTAACCAAGTTAACATCACTAGAGAGGGTATATCAGCCTTCTTTTTGCAAAACCAAAATATTATATCGTAATAATCCAGAAAACCCAGAAATCGGACTCGATCCTGAGCCACATTATCACAATCTACTTCTGTAGCGACCATTTTCAGACGCAGAGCCAGGGTTACTTACTTACGACTAGAGGTTTACCACCAATCGGTTCGTCTTGGCGTCAAGCCCCTTGAGACTCACGATTATCATCATATTTCCAACTGAACAAAACAAAAAACAAACCCCGTTCCAGACCCAATACTTCTCAGAAAATTTGGTAGCGCCGAGAATCGAACCCGGGACCTCAGGAAATGTGGCCAGAAACCCTGACCACTAGACCACAGAGTCGATCTTAAAAACGGAAAAAAAATCTCGTTTAAGGATGTTCTGTAGGTGTCACTGTAAAATGGAAGGAGTGATTTATTAAGGCAATAAAGCAAGGCTCTTTTATATTTGGGGCTACTTTATGTTCGGCTGTCGTGTAGGGTCGTATAAACATGGCTAGCTAGATCGTAATTGTTTTTGCTACAGCATTCACGTCAAACAAAAATGAAAGATAAAATCATTTGGGGCGTGCTTCCAAAGTCCTGTCAGTTAAAATACGTATGTTTATACGTGTTAACTAGTTTGCTCGCAGCTGTCAGGCGAGCAATATGAAAGAAGTTTCGAGAAGACCTTATGACGGCTTTTCATCTTGGAAATATAATAACTGTCCTGTACTCCTGACCCAGTTCCGGGCACATGTATAATAAATACAAGAGGAAAACTGAGAAACCAAAGATAGTCATACATTTAACCAGAGAATATTTCTCGTGGTCACTTAAAAATAAACCAATCCGACCCAAAGCATAATAATATCCTTTTTTATTTTTCTCATGGAGTGAGACTGAGTCCACTTGGTACTGCGGCCATTGTTTAGTATCTCTTACAAGCCCAAGATGAAGATGATGATGAAAATTGTGGAGCAACCGGTGGAATCCAAATTTGTAGAGGAAACCAAAATATTCAGAGAAACCCTGCTCCAGTGCCACTTTCTCCACCACAAATCCCACATGACCTGACCCGGGCTCAAACCCAGGTCGCCGTTGTGGGAAACCATCGACTAACCGCCTGAGTCTCAGATCAGGTCTCTATAGCAAAGGCAGAATGGGCACGCAGTTGAGGCACTGTGCTACAAGCCGCAAGGTTGCGGGTTCGGTTCCCGATGGTGTCATTGGGTTTTTCAATTGACCTAATCCTTCCAGCCGCACTATGGCTCTGGGGCTGACTCATCCTCTAGCAGAAATGAGTGCAAGGAATCTTCCTGGGGGTAAAGGGCGGCCGGCGCATAAGGCTGACGACCTTACCGCCATCTGTTAGCCGATTGTCTAGAAAATGTGGGAGCCTCGACGTCTCACAACCCTATGGCCTCCATGGCCTGTTGTAGCGATAGCTTTACCTTTTTTTTTTAATATAGAAAAGGCAGAATCTGGTCATCACCTATTCTGCTCCTGCTTATGCGCCTGCTTATAAGTGACTAGACTATATGTCATACTGAGACGTCGGAGAAGTTAACCGCCGACGAACGGCGAAACAAGTTTGTAAAATTATTTCGGAGAGAAAATAATCGTCTCAAAGCCTTTGGTTGAGCAGTTCCGCTATGGAAGTCGAGCGATACGGACGTACACAGTGTGCTCTGCCATCGCGAACATAGTCAGTGCAACAGGGCGCGCGCCTCCGGACTATCGACCATCAACAAATAGCAAGTACTTATATCACTCATTAAACCTAGATAACACAACACATCTGCAATAGAACTTCAAATAAAAATTGCTAGAGTACGGCCTAGGGCCTACGCTCACTACCATACATAGCTACTATACCATCAAGTATGAACTTGTCTAGGGATCAAGCTACAACAACACCATATCAGCATATACCATTACCTATGCTATCACAACAAAATATACAACAACGCAATTCCTACTCAAATGCTGCAAAGTACTGCAGTCAACCACCACTCAACATACCAATATACAACCCTAAGCAGTCATCACCTGCAGAATATCCCCCACTACCAAATCATCAGAAACATGAATGGCAAACGGTCCACTATGGCAAGAAGCGAAACAGAAACAGTGATGAAACTGGAGATAGACTGACTCAAAAGAAAAAGCAAGCCTATTGGCTAGACCAACCAACACCTACTCACAACAGATACGAAAACCTCCCTACAGAAGAAATGGAGACCACGACAGCCAATACAAACAAAGAACCAAAGCCACCACCTATCTATGTAACCGGTGTCAAACATATTCAACCACTGATTCAATTGCTGAATGAACTGGCTAAAGATAGCTACATCACAAAAACGATAAGACACGATCAAGTAAAGATACAGCCATTAAAGAGTGAAGTGTATAGTACAATACTCAAAGCACTAATGGAAAAAAACACAGAATTCCACACCTACAAACCCAAAAAAGATAAAACTTTTCGAGTGGTCCTAAAAAACATACATCCGTCCACTGACCTCAAAGAAATTACCCACAGTCTAGCGGAAGAAGGACAT